TTTTTTTCCTTCCTTTGAATTTAAATAATGTGACCTAGTAATGGAATTCGCTTAAGACTATAAATTTGTATTCGCAGTTTACATTATTTATTCCATATGTATAAGACTCTTTTTCAAAAGAGAATCTTAACCCTATCTGTACGCCCTAGGGTCATTTTGTACCCCCGGGGTTGTATTCTTCTCATTTTAGAATACTTCTAGTACGAAGGTCTCTTTGAAACTTATTATTTCTCAAAAAATCATTTTGACAGACTGCTATGCAAAGCGTACGGATCGAATTAACGAATAAATTTCCTCTTTGGAAAGTGGTGGCACAGAGTTCCCCACGTCGTATGGATACGACAGTAAAACACGACATACGGATAGGGTTTGAGGACAAGACTTTGAAGCAGGACCAAGCTACTATTTATGGAAATCCGTGTTGATGTCTAAAAAGTTACGGTAGGTTGGACATTCATTTTTTTATAAGGGGGAGGCGTAAATGTAGGGTTTGTTTTTTTTGTTGTTTTTTTAACAACCCACACAATTCAAGTCATTAAAATTTTAGAAGGCAGGCTTCGAGTTGACCCTGCCTGTCAGTGCCAACCCGAATTGAGAGAGATACAACATCCTAACGAAAAGACCGAGATACTCGATGAAAATCTCCCCATTTCTCAACACGAGAATCGAACTTGGATCTTATGCATACGATGGCGAAGTGCTTGAGACATGAGTGATATAATAATTTGCACTTCTGCTGAGGAACAGTAATTTTGGACGATCGAGTGGGTGGTTGGCGGGTGCTCTGGTGGGGTTTGCTTCTTCTTTCCTTTCGAACATCTGTCGTCCTGATCTCTCTTCCTTTTTTTTGTGTTTGTTTCTTGTAACACCTCTAATCAGATAAAGACGAACAGGGCAGATGGGAGTGCAGACAGACAGTCTGAGACAGACACTGATTCAAGAAAAGAAAGGGGTGGGGGACGACGAGAGAGAGAATCTCAGATATCGAAGGGAAGCAACCAAAAGCTTAATGAACGCGACAAAGTTGTTTCCCTCTTACTAAAAAAAGTAAAAGTCGACTTCTCCACCTCCAGTGTGTCAGTTGATCTGGGATCATGTTTTGTCCATTGGCAGTATGATTACCGGTGTTAAGAACCTACAAGAAGCAAACATTGAAACATCGGATCTGTATAGGTAGGGGTTACTTTATTTTGAATACCGAAGCAACGCAAAGATGCTCAAAGACAGTGTGTGTTTGTGTGTGTGTGTGTGTGTGCGTGTATGTGTGTGTGTGTGTGTGTGTGTGTATGTGTAACGAGCGCTGTCCCAGAAATAATAAAAAGATGTACGTGGTGAAACATCAAACCAAAGTGCCGGGACCTAGACAATAAAAATGTATCTTACTTTATGAATATATAAATTGATCAGTTTTGTCATTACAAGTATAGTTTAGATACCAACTTAGACAGTTAGCTAAACATTCCTTTTGTTCCTCAATGTAGTCCCCATGACCAATCAAGTACATTTGTATTATTTTCCATCGCTGCATTAGTAAACGCTTGCCTTTCATGTAGAAAATAAAAGTCAAGTGACCGAAGCCAACCTATGACGTGCTCCATAAGGTTGTGTCATCAGCGGAAAGGTCTTTGCTCCAGAGATTTTCTCCCCGTCTAGATATCGCTGCGTTGGTTCAAACAGATGAAAGTCCATGGCGACAAGATCAGGACTGTGATCCAGAAAGCTTTCATTAGGTTCTTGGCTGTCAGCAGCGAGCCCAGTTCCCATTTTGTCAAGTGTATTTTACAAGCACCGTTCCAACAGCGATGCTGTGCAAACATCGATGTGCTGTGCTTTGTGGTCATCTGTCAACTATTTTTGGAGCCCACCGAGCTGACACGGTTCTGTATCTCATTTAAAAGACAGTTCTGTGGCTTATTTATATCTATGGCATCAGCAATATCACGAATTTTGACTCTCCTGTCATCAGGAATTCGTTTTCTAATGCGTTATCAGCACTTTTTTGTGTTGGCAGAGAGTTGACAGCCTCTAATTTCGCTCGTGTAAATAAATTTGTATGCTCATTTTCATATACATTGCACCGATGGAAGACCTTGGACTTGCTTAAAACATTCTCATCATAAACTCTTTCAAGTTCTGCTTGAATTTCAATGGGATTTTCCCCCTTTGTAGGAAGAAACCGAATCACAGCTCTAATATCTTTTTTGATAAATATTGTATGGATAATGATCGTCATTTTTCATTTTTGTCGTGATGTAGTAAAATGGTTGCATTCATTAAATTCCAATGGTGCTCTCAAATAAAATACATGTATTCCCTAAACTACTAAAAAAATGTTAGAAAACTGAAAAAAGTTACATGTATTTCTGAGACACCCCTCCATTTATGTGTGTGTGTGTGTGTGTGTGTGTGTGTGTGTGTGTGTGTGTGTGTGTGTGTGTGTGAGAGAGCACGCACACATGTTTGTATATGGTACACAACTTGACCTAAAATTAGCAGCTTCATAGCTGGAGGGCCACTCAAATGCAAAACAAAACGCATACACCTTAATTTAAAATGAATACTGGTCCAATGTGACTATTGTGTATTTTACTTTTACAGTGATGGTTTGAGCTCAAGAGGAATACAAGTTCTCACTCCATCTAGGAACGTTTTTCTAATAAAGGCACCTTGATAGAGAGGGTGAAATGCTTTGTCTGTGAAGGTATGTTATGTGAAGGGTAAAGTAAAATAAATTGTAGAAAAATACAGTGCGTCGGTCACTTAAAACAACACTAGACCATTGTGAAAGAAGTGCTTGAAGGAAGGATGTGGGGAAGGAGAGTCAGGAGATGACAAAGAGTAACATGGATGGACTACATTAAAATATATGGATTGGCCTGGGCATAGCAGGATGTACAACGGCAGTTCGAAACCATTCACAGGATGGAGGGTCATTACATGTCAACCTCTGAGTTAGAGATGCCACCTCCAGGTAAAGTGTCCCCTTCAATAGTGAATGATAATTCTGGAGATGGGACACCTAATCTACTAATCTTCTCCAATACACCAGAACCAAGAGAATGGAAATCTACAAGACCTTCAGCCAATAACCCATGTTTTAGAAGGCTCTGACAGGGGCTTGAGCAAGGAATGTACTGTCACATACATTGTAATTGTACCATTTCAGCTTTTCAGTTTTAGTAAGTTTTACACCCTTGCAGCACATATAGATCATGTAAGTGCCTAAGATTAGAGGTGTTACTATGCAAAGAAATGAAGGAGGAGAAATAAGGATGAAATGTTGAGTAGGAAACTAGGCGCAAACCACGCCAGAGCGCATGGCCAACCATCAATCTGTGCTAACCACAGCTAACTGCAAGCTTTTCAAAAAAGGACAAAATACAGCCCCTACACACCATGATGATTTGTCTTGTCCCTAAGGGTTACCATTTGTTGATTGAGTTCCTGGTCACACAAAGCAAAGCTCACCTTGTCTGTGAGTTGAAAAATTATGTCTGATGAACAAAAGAAATTTAAAAAGTAAAAAAATATAAAAACAACGTACAGAAATGCTCATTTGTATTTCACAACATAAATTTATTGATAAATAATAAATAGATAAATTTACTTGTTCATGCACAACATTCTACCTACGTGCATGAGTAATTTAAACATAAGTGGTACTGTATATTAAATGATAATGTATATATACTGAATTTGTTTTTGAAAAAAGGACAAGTGCACAAGTACAATCTTTGTAGATAATGATCACAGAAAAATACTTTCTTTCAAAATCAGGCATTTAAAGAACATGAACCCAACTCTATTAATTGTTTCTATCACCGCTATCAGATGCTGACCAAACATGATTATTGACACACAAGTATATATCCTCACAGTAAGCTTACAACACCTAGATTGTACTCCATCAGCCAAGCAGTTTCTTTGGCTCCGGAGAGTAAAAACTACAGTACCCTGTACCACGAGTATTATCTTCGTATTGATTGACCAGCGTCCAAGTCACTGTAACATATATATGAACACAGAAAATACTTTCATTTTATTTTTCAGAAGACATAGTCCTCCTAATCTCAATTATCTTCAACTAGACACAGCTGACCTCATAGGGACTGACTGAACTTTAATACTGCACAACCAAATGAAATTGCTGATCTAGGAAAGGGTATCTCACAGCCACCAATTGTAACAGGAAGGATAGAAGTAATTATATTATGAACTGCATTTATGCAGCATCCAGAGGTAAGACACCTCAAGGTGTACAGAACTGCACTTGGTGTCTCAAACATATAATTTTTCAATCAGCGTTACTGATCAAATGTCAGTAGTAACTGAAAAAATAACAATACCGAGCTCGACTGCTTTCTAAACCATTGACTGTTGAGAAGATGCTGCAGAAAACAACTGAGTTGCCTTGAAAGAAACAATAAAAACATTTAGTTATTATCGTTCACTTCTTTTATGAATAATTATAATCTCCACCTTAACCAGTAACTTCAATCGAGAAAAGTCATGAAGCCACATTTTCATAGATAATTAATTGAAAAAGATAGGGAATGGGAATCAGAGGGACTAAGAATTACACAACACATATGACAGGTCTCTGAGAAATACATCAGTGGTACAGCTCAGTCTTTAAACACCACAACCATCAAATACATAGGAAATTATGTACAGTAAAAATGTGGAAGTATACGCTAAGTATATGATAAACACTTGGGGAAAGACTTTTTCAAATACTAAATTTCAGTGTTTCAGGACAGTGTTTTATTATACGACAATTTTAACAGTCTGATCTGCGGTTATAAAGCGGGTGGGAGAGAAATGAGAAGCATATAGACACAACATTGGACAGTTATGGCAGGGTCTAGACGGACAGACAGAAATAACAGAATGAGAGAAAAGAAGAAGGAAGAAACTACAAGTGGCACACTCAAACCACCCAGAGAGGCAAAACACACAACATTTTTCAGTACTGCAGTTTTTAAAATATGCCTTATGATTACTCTGATTAGATACCCATGCAGCCAGCCAACATGAAGTTTATCACTTATGCCATCACGGAAGACAAATTATAAAATCATCCCAAGAAATCTAATTATTTCAGAGCTGACATGGAACTGTGAATATGACCAACAAGTTATAAAGAAATAATAACGAATATATTTTACTTTTAATTAGAAAACAATTAAAATGTACTGTAAAATATGACAAGACTCATGTTTTTCTCTACATGTATAAGCCTCATTCTCATTGGCCACACAAATTAATACTGAGCAAAGTACAATCACGCATCTGTCTAACTGTGCCTGCGGTCCTGGGTTTTTTTCTTCTCATTATCTTTGTATGTTAGATATCCCTCGAACTACAGAGGCTGGTCCACACAAAGGCTAGCTATCTGTGTTACACTGTATTTTTGCCCTACGACAAAGACATTATAATGCAAGTCAAAGTATCGTATAAATCTAAGTATACTGGATGTAAAAGAGTACAAAAATACTGGTAACCATATAGAGGCTTACAAATGACAAATTTTTCCATCACATATCATTAACACTTTAATAATATTTGTGAGTGACTCAAAAAAAGCCCATATGTCAGCAAAGTCAATTTCATGCTAGAAACCTACAAAGGTGTACAAGTAGTAACAGTTCAAGAATGTAGTTCCACAAAAAAAATGTTTAATCCAATTTTAACTATCCCTAAAGCACACTGCAAAAGGAGTAAGCACAATTTCATTTGTAAGAAGTATAAGTTTATTTCAGTTTAAGGGGCTTCGAGGGAGAATATCTGATTTTAAAAATTGCTCAGCTCAATCTAGCTTTCAGCTAGACACCCTTTGGCATAGTCTGATAGTTGGTAGGTTTCATTTCTATACAAACCTCCTCAAGTATATATATATATGAAAATGTTAAGCATCATCTCTCATCACCATGAATTGTGGTGTGCATAAACAGCTGTTTTCGTTCAAACCAATGGAATTACTTGCACATATTGAAAATAGACCTTACAGAAATTCACAATTTCGTTTAAAAGCTGTTTATCTCAAAAATGTACTTTCGCACCTTGTCGTTCAAAATATGTAATATCTCCAAATACATTCAAAATATTTTTTTGAGATTTTAGACAGCTGATTCAGAATTTAAAAACCTATAAAATGCTACCTTTATCTCAATTTCAAACATTGACATTAATATGGGCAATTTTGTCATGGACACAAATATGTTCTTTGTCTTGCTAAACTAAGGAACATTTCACCATAAACATGAACCCGTCCACTTTTTACTAGAAGCTCAATGCTTCAAACACCATTTATACAGTGGCTAGGCGGGCTTGAAACAGATAAAATCATTAAGAACAAATGTTGAAAACATATTGAAAGTATTCGCTCACAAAACTAAGTGCAACATAACAAAACTTGCTTTGAAAACAGTAACATGAGTGCATTGGTACAGGTGTTTGCTTTGGAATTATACTTCGTAGAATAAGTCAGTTTCTCTTGTAATTTTGTACACCTAAAAAAGGCCAACAACAATTCCTCTCCACAGATGTCTATCCTATGCATCATTCTCGCAACAGTGTCCAACTTTTGCCCCGTTAGGTGACATTCGTTTTCTCCTTTCTATGCCATATTGCTCTACAACTTTTGCCCAGTTAGGTGACATTCGTTTTCTCCTTTCTATGCCACATTGCTCTACAACTTTTGCCCAGTTAGGTGACATTTGTTTTCTCCTTTCTATGTCATATTGCTCTACAACTTTTGCCCCGTTAGGTGACATTCGTTTTCTCCTTTCTATGCCACATTGCTCTACAACTTTTGCCCCGTTAGGTGACATTCGTTTTCTCCTTTCTATGCCATATTGCTCTACAACTTTTGCCCAGTTAGGTGACATTCGTTTTCTCCTTTCTATGCCACATTGCTCTACAACTTTCACTATTCCTGCAACACTGGGTGTTCCATGTTAGTAGAGTCTTTTTGTTTACACTGGTAATTCCATTCACAATACAGCAGGCATCTTAAAACACGTCTGCTGGGACATTTCAACCACCCACGATCAGCACTGCTCAAGGACCCACGAGCGGGCAATGAGTTCCTGCGTGCTATCGGCATCGCTGACCACTTATGATGTCACAGTGCCAGAAGGAAGAGAGAGAGAGAGAGTAGGCATCTTGCTAATATAAAACCACGGTAAAAAATATAAACTACAACGTGTACCTAAATTGTACACTCTATTACTATGTTACATAATAATAGCATACATAATTTTTGCTTTAAACCATATTTCACTTCATTTTTATAATTCATAAATAAATAAAACATATTTTAGTAGACAGATATATCACCGATCTTGAATACAGTATGTAGATTACTAGCCAAATCGTGTACAGCTTACAATATATTCTGAGATAATTGAGCCCAAAACAAAATACATTACAAGCTTCCAATAAATAACAGTGAAATACAAAGGGATGAGAAGAGCAGTCCAATACAATTGCACAATATGAACACAATTAACAAATGACTAGATTGGAAAAAATCTCAAATGACCAACACAGTACATGAAACTGCATTAAAATTGTTCAAACACAGCATTGAAAGTTTTAAAAAAAAAGGTAAATAAAAATTCCCAAAACAAAGTAGAATTCTTGTGGGTGGATGGTAAACTTAAAGTGAAAAGTTATATGTCAAAATACCATTTTGCGAAAAACTAGCAAAATCAAGCGACACAAAATCCCAAATATATCAAGTGATCCACGTATGCGCCTCCTTCTTTTCTTTTTTTATGCCATTTCCGCCTGTCCATCTTGCTTTTTCTGGCTGTAAATAATTGTTTTTGCATTTGTACTCTCTTTACTCAAATAAATAAAAATATGAGCATACCCTTACTAACTAAATTGACATAGAAAGAGGTAACAAGCAAGAACAACAGCAACTTTGCTCTCTCTTAAAATTCATCTTCAGATTGTCAAAGCATTCCAAACTTAGCACCGTGTAATATGACTCCTTTAACTTGAATAGTTTTGAGCTCCCAATAAATTAGACATTGGTTATTAAGTGCAAGAAAGATAAGCACTGCGGTAAAGAAAAATGATTGACAGCTAATATTTGCATGTGTTTTTGGCATAAAAAAGAACAGTAAAAAGTGTCTTCTGTAATTTTTTATTTTTAAAAAAAGGAATTAAGGCTATATTATCCTTCGAAATAAATAGTGAACCGAGCAAAATGAATCAGCTGTCAAACATACATCAAACAAAAAATGATTTTGAAAGTCTGTCCTTTCACTCAAAAGTGAAAGAAAAAGAAGTGAAGTTTAATCTTAATTCAATTTACATTTTGGTTCATAGTGCACTTAGATACAAAAAAGTTTATGTTCAGGTGATGTTCTGAGTCTGAGTGAGGAAAATTATCCATTCTATTTTCTAAATATCTTTTGGCAACATACAATCCTTTTTATCAAAGAGGAAGTGGCGGAACAGAAAAGTAAAGGTTATATGATTATCAACCAAAATCATGAGGATTCTTGTCCAAACATGCACAAAATGCAAACATCTGTACGTCAGAAATGCTTCTGAATGTCACATGTAAAGAAAAGTAAACCAGTGTCTGCGGTGTAGTGGTTATATGCTTTGCTGTCGCACACAGGAGACTCGTGGTCAATTCCAGTAGGAAGAATTTTTATCGAGTACCTCAGTCTTTCCGATGGAATGTTATATCACTCTCAGCCCAGGCTGGCCCTGACAGGCAGAGTCCAAGTCGACCTCCTACCTGATCTAAATTGTGTGGATAGGGGCATAAAACACCTACGGTACATTTTTAAAAAAAGAAAAATAATGTGATGAGCCTACAAACAGCAGGATATATCAAAATGTACTGATCAGGCATTTCTTTCCATCAGTCATAATAAAAAATAATGAGATGAAATTGACACTTACGCTAGTGCAGCAAACAACTGAGATAATCAAGTCACGAGAAAAAGTATCAATGAATTTTTTTAAAAACTATGATGTGTTGAAATTGAGCAAAATGTATATGGTACTGTTTACTCATATACAAAATAAACTTAATATTTTAAAATTAATATAAACCTACTTTAAACATGTTGTACCCCTACATCTGGAACTAATTTACTATAACATAAATGTACTCAGACTGTATTGCCGGCTCTTTATATTTGCACCTTCCTCCAAAAAATTTTTTTAAAATAGCCATGTAAACTGAGCCTCCCTTGGGTTTCTGCGAGACAGTACATAAAAAGCCATATGCATGGAAACATGGTGAAATCAGGCTATCGTTAAAATAAATGGGGAATTTTATCCATTTTATTTCTGTTGTTCTAGTTCAACGCTTTTTATGTCCATTTAAACACATTTCTGTGTGGATTTTACTGAAAAAATTTGACCAAAGGCACAACAAATTGTAAGTATTCAATTTCCAAGGACACTCAAACTTAACTCACCAAACTTTAGTGGCCATTTTCTTGCTATTTTCACCTCCTACACCAGGTGACCTCCCACCTCCTTCCCTTGTAAGAATCTTGTCTTCTATTCAAGACAGGCGAGTATCTTTTCATCAAAAGAAAGACAAATGAACAAGATTTAAGATAATACCAATAACTACAAACGCCCAAAAATTGACGAGCGCCCAATTCCACCACGCCATGACACATATTTCCCATTCGTAATGATGGCCAAATTATGCAAGAGTGTTACTCTTGATATAAAACAACCATTTTAATTAAAATGGATAACCATTTGAGCAAAACTTCTTTTATCCTGTCAAGGCCAGTTAAGGTATACAGCCAAAACCACAGTGTGATTATTATTTCAATGAAATCAAACGGAATTTTTTTTTCAATCCTATGACTTTGGTTTTGAATATCTGTGCTTCTCCATTTCAACTTTCCCTGGATAAAGTCACTGTAAGTGTTCATCAGAATTTACATAAGATTGAGAGCACATAAACTCTGCTAATGGCCATTAGTTTTAACAATGTGTACTGAAACAGCAAGTTATTTCAAATAGCTTGCACGAACTGAATCAAAGCATCTTGTTTTTCTGTAAATTCTAGGAGACATGTCTACTTCAAAAGGGTAGAGAAAAATAGAAGGCAAATATATAAGTACCGTAATTAATACAAAAAGATCAGTGGAGATGAAATGAAGAAACAAAGGACCAGAGGTTTCCACAACAAACTGGCTAAAGACAGCATCAAACCCCAATGTCTGGTGGAGACCTTATTTATGCATATATATCACTGTGTGGAGTGGATTAAGTAAGTACGCAAGATAAATGCACAAAAGTAAATGAATGAAAAGACATAAAAATCAAGAGATCTCATGAATGTCTGAGCAATGTTGTTTTAGTGCAGACAAATCATGGAAGCAAGACAAAAGTCACTGAAAAAGAGACACTGAAAGGAACTAAGAGTCAACTCACTTATGCAAAAATGCACAAAAATTCATTTTCCAAAAAGTGGAAGCTATGACTTTACTTTTCTGAGACAGAACAAGCAATCTACTCAGGTCTTGCTGTAAAACAGCATGAAAAGATAATTTTAGATAGCAATTCAAAATGTTTTATTATGCAATAATTACAAAGCTCATTCTGAGCTTCATGGTCTGTAAAATATGCTGAAGCAAGAATTCAAAACATAACTTTGTTGTTTTAGCCTCATAAATCTTTGCATTTTACCCTGACATTACTTATGAATTTGTTAATTGAAAAATCACTCTTATAGCCATTAAGCCCATATAATAAAGGTAATAAATAAAATGCCTTGGAGTTGCCCGCAACTCTGGCCCTCTTTGACGATAACTACTTTAAAAGATTCAGTATATCTAGAACATCAGCTGCTGATCTGTATGCAATGATGCCTGGTAAACTTTCTGTTTTATCAGAGAAAGAATTCCGCCTGTTCCTTATAGCACCAGAGGCTTTCGTGTAGCTGACTTGCAATGCATGTAAGTCTTCCTCAGTGAGTTCACCTTCCGGATACCTGGCCGCCTGCAAAGTGTGCTTATAGCTGACAATTCCACCTCCAACAGCTCTTAGTATTGGGTGAATGGCACAGCAGTCCCACCTATAGATAGAACGGTGAGACAGGACATAAGCTCTTGACAAGCCCAGAACTGTGGCTAGCAATTTGTATCCAGCTCCTGAAGCAAAGTCAAGTTTGTACTTGGTAGATAAGGCTTTCTGTACTTGTTCAGATTCACTTTTACTGAGTACAATCCTGGCCTCGGTATTGCTGGCTTCACTAGTAGGCTCAAAGGATGTCTTGTTTAGTCCATTAAAGGAAACACCCCAAATGGTCCTTGAAGTCCAGCTGTTCAAATGAATCAAACAAATTTTTTTAAAAACAGAAGTCATCATAGTATACATCTTTAAATATTAGAACAACAAGAAGAAACAAAATTCCATGCACTAATTTTGATCACAATAGTTCTTAGAAAATGTAATAAAAAGCATTGACAAAAATAAATTATGAACAGAAAAAAAAATAAATCTAAACATCAATTTAAAATAAGACCCTGTCTATATGCACCTATAATAGAATCACCGTTTCACACCATTTTGAAGCATGTTTTCTCTCTTATCACCCTGGAAAATTCTACACTGGGAAGACAGCTATAAGCTCCCAATACAGAGGCTAATTCCAAGAAACACCCAACCCGAACAGGAATCAAACAAAATATGAGTTTTGAACCCATGTGCAGCCTAAAAATCAGGCCCCCGACATCACGGCATGACTTGAAAGAAAGAAGATACGTTTTTACAAGATGAAGGTGTAAACAAACTTACACTAACGCTATAGATCAGTAGGTCAGGATAATGACTAAGGCACATTGAAGTGGGGGGGGGGGTGCAGTTGAAATGGTCGAGATGGTGAAGGGAGGGTAGTTAAACTTATTATGAAATTGAAGGAGCCTTCAAGGGATACACGACTATATTATCAGAAATACTTTATCATTGAATTTTCTGTGATGACGTCTAAGCCCTTAGCAACTGTTCTACCTATTGAGAGCCACTGAACTAGCTTCCAATGAAGCCTTTGCTCACCCTGCATGTTATACTTCTAAGTTTTTAGTTTCAGTAAGAGTTTTACGGGACTTGCAAAACAATCAGTTCATAAAGGTACCGAAGATTAGAGGTTTTGTACGATTGTAATAAACACAAAAAAAAGAAGGAGGAGATATAAGGACGATATATGATTCATAGGGAAGAAGGGGCAAACCACCTTTAAGAATTAATTACATGTACAGTCTTGTTCTTGAACCAGTATCTCAATAGATAGTAATACATGTATAAGTAATTATACAACTAACTAGGCAAAAACTTTACTCCATACTCCGGTCATTCAATTAAAAACATAAAAAAGAAAATAAAAATCATGGAGCAATAGTACCCAACTCGTTAATGAATCTTAGTATTGGGTGAATTGCACTGAGGACGAAATAATTCCTATGACTAATTATTGAAAGGGGAGAAAAATAGAAGGCAAATAAGCCTACACGGAAGGCAACGTTAAGTCTTTTGAACTGGAGCCTCTGTCTTTGTTTCTCGTACTTATTCATAAACCCGTTATAAAACATGTTTGCAATGTAGTAGGCTTACATATCGACCAAGAAAAAAACCTCCCATCAACTATCACGTTATGGACCACGAACTGTAATATATCATACTAGCTGGGCCCCCTTCCGATGAAAGGAATGATCTGTGCATTAACATCAACTGAAAGTCATTGGCCTATTATAATATTTACACTCCACTGGAAAGGGGCAATAAATCTTGACAGAAAAATGACACATGTCATGTGTTTCCAAGTTGCCAGATACATGTATATAATAGACAAACCTGGCGAATTTTCTAAAATTACAGAGACAGAAGCGTGTTGATTGTTCCCAGTTGCAAGAAAAAGAATTTGAGAAAGGATGCCAGAAAAAAGATCAAACAAAAGGATCACAGTCGAATTTAGCTCCTAGTAAAAAAAAAAAAAGAAAACATGAGGCTAGATCACAGAATTCTACACTTATAGAACGGGAACTGTACCACGTGACCTGTGAGGAATTGAAGACCGAAAACAATGGCGTCTTGAGGGCACGATTTATCGTTTTCGGAAGTAA